GGGCCTGCCCGCCTGCCCGCGCGGGGGAACTGCCTCCGGCTAACGCGTCGCCCCCCCCCTCCCCCCCTCCCCTCTCCCCCATCCCGCTCTCCCCATCCATCCCCGCTCCTACCTTTAACAGCAAGGCCTTCGTTCTGGCGCCATCTTCATGAAGCCTCAGAAATCCGAAGAGTCGGCTGCAGAGAGGGGAGCGGGCGGGCGGGCGGGAGGGAGGAGAGAGAAGAAGGAAAGGCGCGAGGCGCCGCGTTAGCCGGAGGCAGTTCCCCCGCGCGGGCAGGCGGGCAGGCCCGGCTCCGGGCCGGGCACACGCGCAGCGCCGAGCGGGGAACCGCGGGCGAGGGAGGGGGGGCGCGGAGAGAGCGCGGGCCGAGCCGGGCGCGGAGAAGGCCGGGCGCGGAGCGGGGAGCGGGTACCTGTCGAGACCGGATAGGGCTTCTCTCTCCTCGGCTGTCAAGCTGGCGAAGTCCTCCTCGCTCTGGCCGCTCGCTTTCCCCGCCGCCATTTTCTTTTCCTCATCACCGAAAGGAGCAGCAGAGGCGGCGGCGGCGGCGAGCGACACTCCGCACGATTTCATGGAAACGCAGCGTAATTAACTGCCGATCGCACCCCCCCCCCCCGCGCACCCCCGACACCCCCCAGCGCCGGGCGGGGCGGGGTGCCCGACACGCACACACCCCACAACTTTTATTACAACAACAACAGCCGGCAGGGAGGGGGAGGGAGGGAGGGAGGGGAGAGGGAGGGAGGCGGGGGGAAGCCCCGCTGCTCGGAGGAGGAGGAGGAGGAGGGAGGGGGAAGGAGGGAGGGAGCCCCAGCGCTGGCGGCTCGGGGGAGGGGAGGAGGAGACTGCGGAGGATGGCGGCCGAGTGGTGTTTACATCGCCGCTCGCCCCGGCGGCCAGGGCTGCGCGCGGAGCCGGGGCGGCGCGGGCCCGGCCCGCCCTCCCGCAGCGGGGCTGTGTGCGCCGCCCGTACAAACTTCCCCGGCGGCTGCCCAAAGTTGTTGTAATTGTGTCACACCGCCAGCCCCACGCCGCCGCCGTCCCCCCCCCCCCCCCCCAACCCCCACCGCCTCCCCTCCCGCCTGGGCCCGCGCAGCCAATCGGCGCCTCCGCGGCGCTGCACGTGACCTTTGTTGACTTACGTCAGTCATAGCGCTCTTCCACCGCTGCGCTCCGGTTTGGTTGGCGCTCAGAGCCCGCCCCTCTCGGCGGCCTCACGCCATTGGTCAGCGTCTGCAGGAGGAGGCGGGCTTTGTGCCCGCCGCGGCTCACGAGAGGACGAAGAGCCTATCAATCAGAGGAGCTTTTCGATGATCAGGTACCAGCAAGTTTGCTGAGCGCCTTTAAAAACCGGAGGGCGAGAAGGCGGGGGGAAGTTTTCGGGAGCGGTGCGGACTTTGGGGGGGGGGGGGGGAGAAGGAGGGGGAGAGAAAGGGGGAGGAGGGTGCGCTGCGTTCATGGGTGGCGTTGCGTAACGAGGGCTCCGAGCTGGGGGCGTAGACGGCATTGAAAAAATGGGACCTCACGCACGAGCCGGACAGCCGTGCCCACCCGCCTTCTCGTGGCTCGGCCACAGGGCGTGTTTTTTTGGCACCACCGGATCATAATGGTTTCTTCTCGCGGGGAGAAGGGAGGAGGCCGACCCGCCGCCTGAGGGGCCGTTAGGCTGTGGGTAGCGCCCGCGCCGAAGGGCGGATAAAGCAAGGTCCTCCGTGCCCGGATGCCGCTGCCCTCGCGTTACGGCAGGTAGTTCCATCCACCGCAGGAAAGCCGAGGGGAAGGCGCGGCGGCGCCAGCGCCCGCTGAGGGACTTTTCCCTCACGAGGGCGGAGCGACCGTTGGCCCGCCTGCGCCAACGGACGGGCGCGTGGCGGAGCGCGAGAAGAGGGGCGGGGCGGACCCGCCTCGCACGCGGCCCTCCTCTCGCCTCACTGACAGGTGGAGCGGTGCCTCGTCTGCCGTCACGTGACCGGGGGGGGAGCGGGAAGGGGAGGATGGAGGTAACGCCTCGCGAGAGCGCTGTGACGAAGCTATCGCGACCCCGCAGGCGTGAGGGAGGGGGGGGGGGTGCGGCTGTTGGCTGCCAGCGAAGGGTTGGCGGGGTAATCTCGTAGGGGAGCGCGAAGGAGCTTTACGGAGCGTCTGGTGTAAGTAAACGTCCGGATTTCTTTGAAGCTCGTTCGGGAAAGGGGCTGCGTGTGCTGGGCTTGCTTTCTGGCCCTTATAAGGCCAAGGCGACTCGCTGACATCTCTTGCTGGGATGTTGCCTCCTGTTCCCCTACCCTTGCCAGGAACTTCGTGGTCCTGCTGTGCCTTGCAGTTCGTTTGCCCACACAGCCACTTTTGGAAATAGTTAAATGCTGCCTGAAGTGTGATGCGCACCGCACGTGTGCAGTGGCACAGCTCAATGCTTATATGCCATTTTCAGCAAGTGGCATCAGTCGTTTGGTAATCCCACAGCATCCTTTTTCTGGTATCTGGCAAAAGCACTGTAGCTGGGCAGGTTTCTCTCTGCCTACTGAATTGCCTCAGAGCTGTGTCTGCTCTGACTGCTAAGCACTCCCAAGCATCCATGAAGGGATTAACCCCCTCTGGCAGTTAGATTAATAAGAGCAAAGGCCAAATCTATCTAAGGGAAGTTCCGTCACAGCACTGCTGCTTGCTGGTTCTGTCCCCTTGTTATTAATTGCCACTGTGAAGTCAGGTATCCATGAGGCTGAACCACAGTATTCCTGCTTCCACAGATGTAACAGCAAGCATTTGTATGTCAGTGGTGTTTCTGAAATGGTTCCTCAAGCATTTTGTCTCCAGTACACAGGGCTTGTGTGCATTTCCAGCATCACAGGAGGTCTGCTGAAGGCAAAATCTTGACCAGTCCAAAGCACTCCAGTGTCTTTGTGCTATTCTTAAAAGATTACTACATAAGCTGTCTAGTGCAAATGCAGTTGGAACAAAAAAGCACCTGTGTTTAGATATGTTTCATATCTTCATAAATTAGCCAGTGATTAGAGTATTAATATATTGGGTTAAAAAAGCTATTAAAGTTTGGACTTCACATTAAACAAGTTACGGGGAATGGGCTACAGTCTGCAGATAGTGGTAATACTAATGAAGTTATCATCAAATATCTGTCTTCAGTATTCTACACAGCTTCTCAGTCACATTATTTCAGTAGCGCTTCCATAACATGCTGAGGACTCTACTGATTGGTGACATATCAGAAATTGGATATTTCAGCACCGATTATTTCTGAAGATCTTGACCACAAGGCCTGATGTTCCCACTTTGTAGTATCTTGAGTACAAATCAGTAGAAAAGAGGGTAGACTAAACTGTTTCTCAGTCCAGGGGAGGTAATTTCTGAATCACAAAGCAATTCAGGAGAGTTCACAGAATGGCCAGGGTTGGAAGGGACCTCAAGGATCATGAATCTCCAACCTGCTGCCACGTGCAAGGCTACCAACAGAAGCATGGTGATACCTCATTCCTTTTTCAGTTTAACTTCTAGTGCAACTGAAGTAACCCAAGTTACTTCTTAGACTCCCACCAACACCACTCAACCCTACAGCCTACCTGTGCTGGCTTGAATTGAGTTTCCAGTTCCTTTTTTTGTATTTGAACTACTATTTGGGTTATGTAAAAGGTGCTGTAAAGGCCTGTGTATCATTTCATCTCTTCAAAATACAGCTAAAGCTCTGATTCTTTAATAACAGAAAGAAAAGCTTGAAAATGCATACTGAAACTAACACTGCCTGCCCTTGCAGAGAGGCTTGCAGACAGATAACTATCTTGCAAGTTACATTGATATACCACTACCGAGAGATTGTTTCAGACAAGCATGATGTTAGCCTCCCATTCTGAGAGGTGACCTGGAAGTTGGCCTTGGAGGAATAAGTTCTTAGATCCTTCACAAAGATGTGAATTGCAGTACTGTACTGTACCAGTTCAGTGTTAGTTAATGCATTAGGTTTTTAGTTTGGTTGGAGTTGTGTTGTCATCTGAGGGTCTTTAGAACCACTTTGTTACCTTTGTGTGAGAGTTGTGGGTGAACAGAACTCCAGTCCCGAGCAGTACTCCTTGGGGACCACTTTCTTGTGCACTTTCAAACTCATTACACTTCCAAGCAGTTTCTTTGTGTATTCTAGCATACTGTATCAAATGCTGCTTTGTCGTAGTGTTAGGCTTCCCACTTGGAGCCTGAACATTGTTAGTGCATACAGTCATCGAACAGCTTGCTGGAGAGAGCTCCATGTTCCAAGCAGGTATTTGTTGTGCTTGTCATTCTCTGTAGCTGGAATCCGAGATACTGCACTGCTTGAATGTAATGTTAGATACAGCAAACATGAATTTTAGAATTCTCCTTATAAAGTAATATGCATTGCAGTCTAGGGAAATGATTCTGCCTTTTTGCTCTTGTGAGACCCCACCTGGGGTACGGCATCCAGTTCTGCAGGCCTCAGCACGAGAAGGACATGGAGCTGTTGGAGCAGGTCCAGAGGAAGGCCACAAAGATAGTAAAGGACTGGAACACCTCCCTTATAAGGAGACAGACTGAGCTGGGGCTCTTCAGCCTAGAGAAGAGAGGGCTTCAAGGAGACCTTGTAGAGGCCTTCCAGTACCTGAAGGAGTCCTATAGGAAAGCTGGAGAAGGACTTTATAGAAGGTCATGTAGCAACAGGACAAGGGGAAATGGCCTTAAGCTATAAGAGGGTAGATATTAGGAAGCTCTTTAGTATGAGGGTGGTGAAACACTGGAACATGTTGCTTGGAGGAGTTGGAACTAGATGATCTGAAAGTTCCCTTCTAAGCCAAACCATTCTGTGATATCATCTGATGTCCTCTTGAGATGAAAGGCACTTCTTAAAATCAGTGCACAGTAATTGATATGGAGGAAAGATTTAGAATTAACGCTAGGATTCAAGCTGTCATCTCACTTGGTGTCAAGTCGTTCCCGTATCTCAAACATCCTGGGTCACTAGAATGTAGGTACGAACTCAATCTCTGGAAAGTAATTTCATTTAGCATGGGGTAAATGAAGGATAACCTCCTTAGGAGCTTCATTTTATTCTGTCATTGCTTTTCATTGCTGGCAAGAGCTTATCTTGCTGCTGTCAACTAAAGCAGGTCCCTTTTAGAGATGGTAGAAATCCAACCATTTTTTGTTTTTTGTTTATGTAATTAGCAAGAGTATGGTGGTCTCATTAATATTCACCACAAAATGCTTTGTAAATTTGTTGATGGCAAGTTCTGACCAGAGGCTTGTTTCTACAGCACTGTCTAGTGTCAGAATCATAGAATCACAAGGTTGGAAATGACCTGTAAGATCATCTACTCCAGCCGCCCTCCCATCACCATTGCTACCACAAGCACTGAACCACGTCTCGTAGCTCCTCATCCAGGCGCCTCTTGAACACTGCCAGGGATGGCGACTGCAGCACCTCCCTGGGCAGCCATTCCAGTGCCTGACCACTCACTGAGAGAAAAAGTTTTTCCTTATTTTTAACCTAAACTTCCTCTGGTACAACTTGTGGCCATTTCCCTGGGTCCTGTTTGTTGCCTGGGAGAAGAGCCCAAACCCCTCCTCATCACAGCCTCCCTTCAAAGTTGTAGATGGAGTGAGGTT